GGAGGTGATAGAGAAGCTTGGGACATCATTCAAGCAGTATTTGAAAGAAACAGCATTATGTTCCCTTCCCAGGTACATCTAAAATATGTTTCAGGCTTTGAAAACATGGCTCCTCTTACTGCAGAAGTTAGGCAAGCAAAACTGTACCAGTTCTCTGTTTTTCAAATTCACATAAAAATTTAGGCTCATTGTTTCCTCATCCTTGCCAAAAAAAACCCCAAAAACCTCAGGAACAAATAAGTGAGAAAAGAAGCTGTGACTGCCCAGAATTAATTTTCTTTCTTTTTGAGCCTGCAGTTTTTATATTAAATAGAAATCTTCCCTAAACACTGTAGCCACAGGCTCAGGACACAGAGGATAACACAGCTACACTCAGCATTTCTCTCTTTCCCTATAAAACTGTAATTTATTTGTGTGATTAGTCCCAGAAACCAGCAATGGAGGACTTGTGTGCTTTAAAAAATAGGACTATTTAGGCAGAAGCAGAAATAGTGGAGGGCCTGTTTATTTCCATTACATGCACCCATATTACCATCAACATGACAGAATCATGAATCAGAAAACCAAAAATCATGAGATCAGCTCAGAAATAACAAACACTGTGTTCTTTTTGTTAGTCCTCTCTTTTTTAATTCTCCAGGAATTCTCCTTTACCTATCAACTCAAGAACTAAAAAGTTCACTTTTAAAACTAACAGCTGAAACCTTCAGATATTCCTGCAGAGTTGTTTTTTGAAAACAAACCTCTAAAAAATATGACATATACAATAAAATTGTGAACATTAGCCACCCTGTCATCACTGGGTATTTCCTATCTCAGCATCATTTGGAAGGGTTTTACAGGGAACCAAAGTCACACACAGTTCCTGCTTTAGCTGTCCTTACAGATGGACCCACTGTCAACAGAGGAAGTGCTGATTACATTTTTGACAACGACCCAGATGAAAGTGTTCAGTACTGAACTGCTAAGAAAAAGCACAGTATACAACAGCAATGTTACAGTGCACTCTGAAATTCATAGGAATAGCAGGAACATTACAATGTTGGGCAGTAGTACCTGCTGCAACAAGTGATGGCACTGAAAATGGGAGGCAAAGCCCTCAGTACTGCTTAGTTCAGGGACTAGGGGCATTGTCAGCATTTCCTCATTTCTCTTTTCAAAATCAGTTGGACAGTAGAAATTCAGATACTAGGAAATGCTGTGGCTCACAATGGTGAGAAGGTGATGAATGCAAACTGGTGTTACGTGATGATGAATTCTCACTTTGATGTGAGGCTGTGATCAGCTAGCTGGGGCTGGTGCCTCTTGTAAAAACTTTTCTTTTGGAACATCATAGCTCAAAAGACCTGCACTGTTGCTATCCTGGCCATCCCAATTCTTTCTCCACAAGCCCATGTTGCTATTCTGATGACATAATAAAAAAGGATATATGGTCCTGTATTTGGTTTGAGTGGCCAGGTTTTGGTAGTGAGAGGCTACATACAGTAACTGCATTGTTGTGCAGAAGAGTCAGAGTGGCAGATCTCAGAGGGTCATAATCATGCTTTACTTCTCATTATTCAGCTCTGATTTAATTTGTAATAAATTAAACTAATTTCTCTCTTTTGTCTGTGATGGTAACTTGTGAGCAATCTCTCCCTGTCCTTTTCTTGACCCACAAGCCTTTCACTATATTTTCTCTGCCCTGTCCAGCTGAGGAGGGCAGTGACAGAGCAGCTTTGGTGGGTGCCTGGTGTCCAGCCAGAGTCAACCCTCCACAGCACTATCACTGTCATCTGCCCCTCTGTCTCCCAACATACCCAGAAAAGACAATTGCCATATAAGCTGCAGTGGTGAATGTCTTTTGATTTCTCATTTAGTTTGGAAACTCACTTTTGAAAAAAATTTTCAAAACTCATTCAGAACACATCTAATGATTAGAAACTTCACTGGACTTATTTTTATCAGCCACACTCTGCAAACCCAAAACCACCTTCCTCTTCTTACATCACGACCTTTTGTTTTTCCAACCTGACTTTAAAATTAAATTCTTGCTTGAGCCACATTTTTCTTTTCAACCCATGCACTCCCTGCAAATGAATGGAGTTTCTCTGATGGCTGCAACCAAAGCAGGCTTGCTTTCTGCCCTGAACCCTGCTATAGGCAATGCAAACAGCAATTACAGTAACACCACCCAAAAACCAAGATCAAAGACATCTAATGCAAACAGTCAGAGCAATGAAATGTCCTGAGAATTCTATTTTCTCAAAAGAGCCAGCTGTACAGCAATATTTTATTTGTTAAAAATAGGTACTCTCCAGGCTCAGCAGCACACAGTTCCCAGCCAGAAGTATCTGTCAGACCATCTGGTTTGACCTCCGGGATAGCCAGGGCTCTTCCATTTCCTGACTGCTGAGCTCAAGTGCTTCCTATCACTTAAACCATAGCTTGTGTTTGACTAAAGCCTGATCTTGCATGAAGCATTTAAACTGGGCTCGGAAATCCTGAGAAATGGATACCACAGCCTTCTCCTTTTCGGTGTGGGTCTAAAGATAATCACTCCACTGACAGAAAATGGCACCTAATTTCTGTTTGAGACTGTCTTCAGTTTCAGTTAATGCCAGATTAAAGATACTGTTTAACTCCTGTTTTTTTTCCCTGCAAAAATAAGCAAGCTGCAACTAAGTGACCACTAACTCTCTTTTCAGGTTAGTTTAACAGATTATTCTCTAAAAGAGTGGATTTAAATTATTTTCAGAAGTTGTTTTCAATTTGGAGCCTATTTGTTTCTTTCTTGCAGGGTTTTTTTCAGTATCCTGCACTGTTTTTCCTTAGACATCCAGCTCTGCATAGTGGCAAGTGCTTACAAGACATCAAGGTTGCAGGGCTCTATGTGATGACATTGGTATTTTCCCAGGCTTTTACAAAGTCTGGCTTCCAGAGCCTGGAGGAGCAGAAATCTTTGGGACCAGCTCAGGGAGTGTCTGTCACAGCTAAGAAGCCATGGGGTAGACACATGGCAAACGCAAGCACATGGACGGTAACAGTAAATTGGCAGGCCAGTCCAGCAATGGAAAGGTAGACTGAGATACAAACACTTTTCCCTCCATAACTCTCTACCAGAACTGTAATTTCCAGGTAAAAATGGGGAAGAGGGGACGGTCCTCTCTCTTACATGAAAAATCACATTTTGAAGAAGGAAGATTTCTTTTTCATACATCAGCCTTTGCAAATCCCTCTTTGTTGTCATCAGAGGCAGACCTGCAAGTGCAATGTTCCTCTCTCAAGTGACTCACTGAGTGTCTTTGTCAGGCACTGTGAGTGACTTGAATAACAGGATATGAATACTTTTAAGCTGACATATAAAGCCCCACTTAATTCGTTTAAACACTTTCTTCCATTTAGATGTAAACTCTATCCTATAAATTATCAAGGTATTCGCTGAATGCACTGAAAGGGTAAACCAGCTCTCATCATTGCACAAGAGCACGCAGCCCCCAGTAGCAGGCAGAAATGACATGGAAACTGAGAATTCTATTTACCTCCCTCCACTGCGAACTCATCTGTTCCTCTACACGCACGGTACAAATGGTGTCTGAGACTCACTGAGTTTCCAGGGGACCATGTTCTATCAAGCAAGTCCAACCTGTCCTTTAGTGTGACCAATCTTTCCTGCTCAGTCTGAGACCTGCCCCAGTTCTGAGTGCACTTTAGGATGTAATCTCACTTCTTGTAAAGGCACAAAGACCATCAGAGTCAGTCTAAGGCAGAGAGTGGTGAAAAGGATCAGGAAAAGGCTCTGCCTTTTCCCACATGCAAATCTCGCCTAACCCATGATATTTTAGTAATTCCAGAGACACTGTACATCAGTTCAGTGAATACCATTAAGGAACATGCACGTCCCATCCTTGAGATCTGAAGAAAGCAATAAGGTCCTAGACAAATCAAAACATAACTGGTAGGGGTAACCAAGGGGTGTTATAATAAAACCAACTCCCAGAGCACTGGCTACAATGCTGTCTAAGCTGTTTGCTGTAGACTGATTTGCTTATTAAGCTCCCTAATGCTTTCCTGTCCCTTCAAACTGAGGACTGCTAGTACAGCCCATCAAAGAGAAAGGATATTCTCCTGAAACTACCATAGCTCCAAATTTTGGCATAGCTTTGGGATTTGATCAGTGTTTCCTTGTTCCAATAACAATTACACAACATTTCTTAGTTTTCATCATCAAACAGACTGGCATCACAATAAGCATCTACTTGAAGCTACTCTGGTGCAAAGTAGGAAGTCTCCATGGGCTTGCTCGGTTTTCTGTTTTGGTTTGGTTTTTTTTTATTTATTTTCCTATACAACATCAGGTATACAAGCTTTTCAGATCACATCTTGATTATAAAAGCAAAAGGCAAACATTAATAAATTCCTTTGATTTCTATTCATATCCACAGTACTATATTCTTCAGTGCCCTTAGTCAGGTTATTTAAAAGGCCAGTATCATGGTTCACCCACCTCAGACACTGAGATGAAGAAGGTCCTGAGGCTTCTGTATTTTGTACAACTGATGTGAAAATGGGTTTCATAGACAGGCTTTCAATCCCTATTTCTTCATTGCTGATAATAAGCTTCAATTATTTGCAGACAGAGGTATTTTTGGGTACAGAAGCAAAGCTTGCATTCCTATTCAGACTCTATAAGAGTGAAAACAATGTTTTGTGCCTCTTCCTGTCTGTGTGAAAAAAATAGCAAAACTACATAAAACAAAACAGTTGGGGAAAGGGGATTACTGGATAAATAAATTTGGAAGAAGAAAAAAAACCAGAAACCGTTTTTGTGTAAGTAATGTAAACCAGGTTATTTTTACTCATTTTTTATATCTGCTAAAACCAGCCCCGATGCAATACGTTAAAAACCTCCCTGTTTTTCTCAGCCCATAGATAAAAAGTGCCTTCAGTAGTGACTTGCAACAGGAACCTCATCTGTTGCAAACACTTTGAGCCTTCCTTATTTCTCAGAGAGGAAGTATGTGGCCTGTTTGGCAAATGCTGCTCTACATGACAGCGTGAACTTCACAACACACTCATTCGACCGGCTGCTCCTCGACTTGATCAGCTAAACCTTGCTGGCAGCATGAGAGCAGTATTATGACTACAGCTTTTTTCAGAAATACTGCAACCTGGAATACCATGCCCAGCATTTAAAGGTAATCATTGCTCTGATAATGTTTTTGATTATCTGCATACGGGACCAAATGTTTCAATTTTATTTATTTAAGAGGGAGTTCTATTTTATTAACAATGACAGTATTCAGACCGTGGATTTCAAGTACCACCAAAGGTAGAAATAGAAGAACCTGCCTTGATCCTTTTCTTAAGGAATGATACTAAAGATAGAAGGGACAAGGAGTATTTCTGCTGAAAGCTTACAGTAAGATAGATGCTTAAGCCGTTATGCTGAAGCAAACTGAGTTTTATTATAACCCAAAATATGAGCCCACAGATTAGTGGGCTTTTTATTCAAAGTGTTAGAAGTGTGTATAGTGTGGTATTTCTGTGTTGTTTCATGGTTGCATGTTTCTGTGAATTACTCTGATCAGAGTATTATGTTGTTCTTTCTAAGTGTAAAGGTACAAGTGCCTCAAAGCTGAAAGGATGTTCATTTTGATTGACAACAAATTAAGGGAAATTAACCAAAAAATATACAGCTTCTGAAATCTAATCTGTTTTTTTTCCCCCACATGAAAAAATAACAGGATGCTGGTGCTTTCATTTTCAAGCCAAATGGGATTCAGACATTGCCTGTGAACCTTACTGAGAATTAAATTGTAAGATATTGGCAGTATAGATGTGGATGTCAGGAAGTAAAAATAAAATTGGATATAGCATCACAGGAATGATGAATGTCCTAATTTTACTAGTCTGCAGTATTCCTTGTAGAGGGGCTTTACTTGGGTGTTTATTTGCCTTTTTATTTCTCTTATTTTTAATTTCTTTATATTTAGTATTCCGCCATCATTTAAAATATAACCATGAAAAAGTTCTTCCAAAGTGACAGACTTTCCTATGTTCTACACAGAGACGGAAGGGGAAAACTGTACTACAGGTTTTGGGGACCCCTGATGTAGGTCAGTGGGATTCCAGTCTTGACAGCTGAAGAATTCGCATCTGTTGAGAGTTTTGCCACTGATAAATAGGACGCAGAGCAGGACAGAGACTTCAGATGTTTCTTCACCTTCCTTTTGGCAGCAAAGATCACTAAGCACTAGTAGGTGTGTGTGTGCAAACAGTTATGGCTGCAGCAACCGCCTTTCCTCGAACAGCATGTGCACAAGTGGAAAGGGGAGGGGAGGAAGGACCAATGACTGGAACACTGCAAATGTGATCTTAATGGTTAAAATCAAATTTCCACACAAGCCTGAGGAGGTGGTTGGTGAGCGGGTAGAGCTGCAGGTGGATTTTGGGCTGCAGCCCAGCCGCCCAGCGGTTCCTCTGAGCTAAGCAGCAGCTACACTCCTCCATGCAGAGCTTGAGGTTGATAGGGTACAGTGACTTTAGTGTCTATCATTTCTCCTCAATTCTTCCCAAATCCCCCTCAATGAATTATTTCCTTTGGATCTGGCATAATTATGCGCTTCTATGACAGAGGGATGCCACCTCTACTTGTATCCCGAACCCTGTCATCAAGTTTAGATATAAGGAACGAATTTTTTATGGTGAGGGGGGTGAAACACGAAAACAGGTTGCTCAGAGAGGTTGTAGATGCCCCATCCTTGGAAGCATTCAAAGCCAGGTTGGAAAGGGCTCTGAGTTACCTGATCTAGTTGCAGATGTCCCTGCCAGTGGCAAGAGTGTTGGACTAGGTGGCCTTTAAAGGTCCCTTCAATCCCAATTATTCTATGATCCAATAAGTTCAAGTGAGATTCAGTGCCTGGAGCAGATTTGCTATTTCAAAAGATTATCATCTGTAAAACTGTTACTGTTTTGCTATTGACTTCAGTGATAAAAAATGGTTTAGCCACAAGATCTCTAAAGCTTCTGGTAAGTGCAGTTTTGCAGGGTGTCTCCAAATTTCAGAAAACCAACAAAAATTTATCATGTAGTGATACAATGCATTTATATTGTGGTGCCAACAATCAACACAAGCATGAGCTACTTAAGCCATTAAGTTCCATTACTCACTTGAGAGTAAAGTGCACCTTTTAATCACTTCCGTTAAGTGAATCAACAGCAAGGGTCGCAGCTTTCCATTTGTTTATTTTTATTGAACACTTCTGCCATGGTTCTAGAGAACATCTTGAACTCTCTATGACTTTAATCTCTATCTAAGACTTTATGCTACCAATGGCAGTGACGGTAAAAGAGCACGGAAAATGCAATGAGATACGGCAAACGCTAATGACATCAAAGTCCAAGACATCATTGCTCTTCACTGTTACTGAAAGTACTTTATAACATTCGTATTTTCTGGAAGTCAGATTCCTCCACACCTAAAGCAGCAGCATGGGGCTGCATGCTCTGTCCTGATGATTGAGGTTCTTAGAGAAGAATGATGCCTGAGGGCATCGGTCTGGTGCGGTAGAAGCGAGCCAGGTCAGTTTTGGATGCCTTCTGCAAAAATACAAAGTAGGAACTTGCCTGTTGTCCAGTATTTAACCCCCTGGACTAGACAGTGGTTTAATTGAAAACTACATATAAGAAAACCTGCCAAAAATATTTCAGATGTTTTTAAAGCAACGTTTAGAGTCTCTAGAAAAAATGAAGGTGCCATGGCCAAACATGCCATGCTTTTAGAAAGTTTGTAAGCATAAGGTAAAATTTTCAGAACTCTTTCTATCATGTACAAATACTACCTATCACTTTCCAAAGTGACTCAGGCACACCTGAAATTAAAAATAGAAAAAACGCCCTTGAAAGCACTCGGTCACAAGTCTGACACTAGTAGGATGACTTGCTTTCCTGGCCCTCAAATACCAAGACCCAGCATATCTGGGTACATAGAGGGGTGCACAGAGGTAGAACCCTCACTTTTATTTTTTTTCAGACCTTTGGAAGACAAAATTTGAGCTATTCTCATCTAAATAACAATTGTATGTGTCAAAATTATATACAGGCATAAGATGTTTATGCTGTTATTCTTGCCATCTATCTGGAATTGCACAATGCTTTTGATAACTGCAGCTCAGTTACTATACATTGAGCAAGATTTGAGTTTCCCTTTTAAATTACTGCAAAAATGCAGGTACTAGAGCGCAGAGCTCAGCAGAGGTTACCTGTCCAGGTATTTATCTCACTTCCCTGGCTGACTTTTTCAGTCCTGTTGAGCTCTCTATTGCTGTGCCCAGGAAAATTTCTGACTAATTTGAAGATGAGCCAGGAACATCTATAATATCTGTAGCCAAAGTACTGGCTGCACTACTTCTCTGGGTATACTTCTTAATGGGATACAACTGAGAAAAACATTCAATAAATTAATATTGGGTCTTGCAGAAAAATATTCATAGTTAGATCAGGAAATTATGATCTTGCAAGCAGATAGTGCCTAAAAAAGTGAATTCAGGTTTCAGTCTTGGTAATTTAGGTGCATTTAAATGGAGGAAGATTTTTTGCTTTCTATCAAAAGGGATCTTTTTTTTCAAACATGAATACCCAAATAGTTTATTTAAATTTATGACTGCTGTTTTATTCAGCTTCTAGACTTGTTCTATCAGCCAGTTTTTTGTTCTTGTGACAGTAGATTTCAGACGCCTGTCAGAAACACATTGGTACAGCTGCACCCTACAGATGTGCCACAAGCTCGTTCTGAGTGCAGACAGTAAAGGGGTAATGTGCCATTTGGCCAGAGAAATAGAGAATTCTAGCAAAGAGCCTTTGGGAACAAGCACTAAGAAGTTTGGAAATCAGATGAGGTAGAGTCAAACTGTGCACTACCATCTGTTCTAGCACTGATCTCCTTGCTTCGATAAAGGACAAATTTTCTTTCCTTTGAACAGCATTTTTTTCTGTAGGGTGTCTTCCTAAACTGGCTGTAAGACATAAAAAATTTATGGTAATAATCAACATACTCAAGTTCTGCCAATCTTATTCCAAAAGACAATTAGTAATAAAGTCTTGCTGATGTTAGCAGTTCTGCTTCTCAGAGCTGACACCTCTCCAGTTAACACCATCAGGCGCTAGCCTGCGTAAGTAAAGAGCAGCACACCAAAGTCAGTAATCATTTTTTAAACACTTAAGCTAGAAAAGACAAAACCATGCAGAATAGCCACACTATGCTGCTACAGCTCCTGATATCATTTTCACAGGGCAATGGACAGAAATATATTTTTGAAAAATAATTACCCATTTGCTGGTGTTGAGTTACTTTGCTTCAATGTACAGTTTTAAATAGATATAGCTTATTCTCCCCTCCCTCTAAAAATATACCATAGCATGAGACACCTTCCACATCCAACGGGTTTTTCTCTCAGTCCTCTGTCAGGGAGAATCAGAATGGCTGCAGCAAAGCCTTAAGAAGGAACTATTCCTCTCACAGTATTTAGTTCCACAATTGTCTGATATTGTTTCTTGTACATCCACCAAAACTTTTTAAAACAAGTATCTGAAGAATTTGCACCACTGGTTTTATGCCAGAGGACTGTTTTGAGATGAAAAAAATTTTAGGCAAGGTGTTACTTTAAAAAAAGTAAAAAAAGAAAGAAAAAGGAGGAAAAAAAACGTTGTCCACATTTGCTGAGAACACGACTGCAAGCAACATTCTATGTGTTCTATAGTAAAGCAACACACGCACAGCGCTGGAAACCACCAACATCAGCCTAAATAGATCCTTTGTATTTCCAGAACCCCAAATGCTGAAAAGAATATTTTGTATATGAAATGATTGTATGGGCATGGCTCTGCTGTTACTTCCTATTGTGCTGAGGTACTGGTAATGGAAACTTTTACTACATCGTGTTCTTCTGAGCAACTTCCCTAGCTGTGGTTTTCTGCTATTCCCCTGATAAAAGCACTAAAGTGGTGAGAGTTTAGCAAGTATGTAAAACTCACCCGAATTTGACACAAGAGCTCTCAAAAGCAAAACTGTATAAAACTAGAGACATTCAAACTAGGTCATTTCTCATCTGTTGGCACAGCAGGTGTTATTCTGATGTTAAATTTCAATACCTCCTTTGATTTAGTTCCGAAGAACTTTGGCGGAATTAGAGAGCACAATGGGAAATACTGTGAAAACTCCAAGACCATCCGAAGAAACAAACATGCTGAGCCAAACGGGTAAGCACTCATTTCATTTCTTTCAAGAGAAAATGATGTTCGAAAGGTATGGTAGATTCATCCATGTGTCTTCCTTCACCCGCCTGACGTAGTAAGAGCAGACAAGTGCATGACTGATGTGGGAGAAGGACTTCCACTAGACAATGCTTATTTTTAGCTACATTCTAGCTCATTTTCCAAGAAGTACTTTGACAAAAAATCCTAAATGTTAAACTTATTATTTGCCAGTGATCCTTGAAAGATGTTCCTTCCAAATCAGAAAGCACGGAAACACCACTTCAGAAACCAGAAATTCTGTATTTTGACAAAGATGCATGGGATATTTTATAAAAATTTGTTCTTGAAGTTTGGGTTTCCTTCATTTAGGGTTATAAATTTTAATGATGTTATGCTTGCACTGAACTTCATGCCCACCGTAGCACATAACCAACTTGTCGCCAGGTTTATCGATAAGGGTTATACAGAAATACAAGTTTCACAAGGGAAGCTGCCAAAGGTGACTGCAACACATCTGCCCTATGCATCCACATGTGAATAAATCAGGTTGCAAATCCCTCCCTGCCTCTTCCATAGGCTGGTAGAGGTCAGGTATCTGATGGGGAAAGCAGGAGGGATGTCATGACCTGCTGCTCCAAACTGTGAGTGAGTGGGTGGAGAGTCAGTGCAGCCTCAGCTCTCATGATGCAGTGAGACAGGCAGCTGGCACAAGAGCTGCAATAAATCACCCCCTGAGGGTGAGGAAGAGAAAAAAGTTTTGATTTTTAGCTTTGGGTTTGGGGTGGGGGTTTTTCAGTTACTTTTTTTAGAGGGAGAAGGCATTAATCAAAATTTTTGGGGTTTCCATGAAAGCTGATCTGGCTGGCTGCTCATTATTATAAGGATATGGAATGAGTTTGGTTTCATTACTGCTGCAAGGAAACCAAGCCCTTCTTTTAGCATGGTCAGGAACCAGCTGATATGAGCCAGGCCAGGAAGAGCCACCTTTGATTTAACTGAGGCAGAAGATCCAATCCACAGATTACAGTCAAAATAGTTATTAGGAAAAACAGGTTTGACACTGGTTCATTTCAGTAAGACTGAATAAAATGAAGGACTGAAACAGAAGGGAAAGAATGAAAGGAAAGAATGTCCAGCAAAAAGGGGGAAGAAACAGATAACCGAAGTCTGCAGACTTGATTTGCAGTGTGAATGTGTTCATCAAACACCTATGAGCCCTTGTGCTGCCTGAAAGCTGCACTGAAAGCAAGACCTTGTGCTGTCCCCACTACCAGTGCACCAGTCTTGATCCCAAGAAAGGGAACAGTGTAAAAGCTGCATTTCCCAAGGAGGCATTTGGACTCCAAGGATAACTGCACCCACCTGACAGCACATTGCACGGGCATCCCTGGTATAACCCAGGTATTGATAACAGTAGCCAGGGCAGCAAGAGATCAGCAGGGATTGTGAGCTCACCCCCTCTTCTCTCCTCCCTTGGGACCCTGAATCAAAGGTTAATCCCTACTGAGCTGCACTTCCATAGCTCTTAGTTTCCAAGCCAGCTGGTTCAGATTTACTTTGGGCACCAGAGTGTGACTCTGCAGCCACACCTTTCAGTGCTGCACAGACAGTCTCCGAGATGCAGAGTGCCCTCGTTCACCCCCTCTGGTACACACCATGCCATAAATTATAGTATTTCTGCTGCACAGTAAAGCTGGATGATGCATGAAGTTCATTCCCAATACAGCCATGGACTACACCAGTGCACAGCACAGCAGGTTTTTAAGGGTGATGAGCTGAATCTGGATGCTCTGCCTGTGCTCTTCCTACGCTCTTATAATGTTTCTTAGTCCATTCACAATGAATAATTTGAAGGATGCGATAATCAGTCTCACACTTTGCAACACATTCAGGGATGCAGACATCTAAAATTAGCATGTGTTTCACATTCATTTCCTACTCTTAAAAACCCACTCAGTATTAACACCTGATTCAGTGGAAATGATTGTGCTTCGATCTTTCCACTCTAACTTTTGATGTGTTCCATTTCAGAACCTACACTTGCACTGCGGAGGAGAGCTTGTGTTAGAAAAACTTAGCCAAATCTTTTTTCTTTTACAACTAGAAAGTGTGGGGAACTCATCAGATCAAATCTATTAGATCACTGAGTGGAGAAAGAGTGTAATATGTTTAGTTCCTGTTTCCAGTCTTTTGTGTTTGTAAGGAGCTAGTCTGGGTTCTGTGAAATGTTGTAGAGTGCAGTGGGGTGCTTTGCGTGACCAAAAACCCCAGTGAGGTTTGATTTAAACACCAATTAAAACAAAGTCCTAATTGTGAAGAACAAGGAGCCCTCTGCACTTTAAGTATATGTAGTTTAAGAGGTAACATTTGCATGGATGTGGGAGCTAAGACTATGATAAATTCCCTCCTTTTCAGAACTATAAACTGGCATGCAAAATTGAAACAAAAAACAAATATAAAGATGAAAGTGTAAGCAAAGTAACACAGGTCTTGCTAGAGTAGAGAAAAAGTCACATACTCTACAGTGTGTAACGAAATGCAAACCACCAGCACACAAGGAAGAAGAAAAGCACTTGTTTTCTGCCCTTTCAGTATGGAAACAGAACATTTGTAAGTAAACAACAGAACTTTAAAAAAGGCATTGCTAAAGACATTGTCATTAAGGTTAAAATAATTATATTCCATGTAGAACTGTTGTCTTACAACCTGCAATGAGAAATTAAGTGATGGCACTTTATCCTCATTTTGTAGTTCTTAAAATGTACCTTCTGGCCTGTATTTGTAGCCCTGGGTAAAGATTTTGTTTTGTCAAAAAAAAGACTCTGTACCAATGCTTAAGTCTTGTTAGGCCTCAGGTACTAAGTAGTTTCATAGACAGAGAAACTGTGACCTAAGTTTTCTGTGAGGAACAAGGAAGCAATCAAAGGCTTAGCACAGAATTTCTTCAGCAGGGTTGAACTAACTGTATAATAAATTACAGTAGATTAACCACAACAATTGTCTGTACTGGACTAGTCTTGTTTAATTCAGTCACACTAATCAACTAAGAAAACCATGGCAATACTAATACTAAACACACTGTCAAAATACTCATAGAATGGTTTGGTTTGGAAGGGATTTTAAAGATTATCTAATTCCAATGCCACTGCCATGGGAAGGGATGCCAAGCACATCAGGTTGCTCAGGGCCCCATCCAGCCTGGCCTTGAACACTTCCAGGGATGGGGCATTCACAACTTCTCAAAGCAACCTGTTGTGTTTCTTTTCTGCATGTTTCCTTCAGTCTTTTATTGTTATCAGTGTGAGTTGTTTCTAAGGCCCTGAGACACGCAGGTTGAAAACACAGAGCCAGTTTCAGCATTCATTCAGGATGTTGCACCTAGGTTTCCCTAAAAAGCTGTCCTCCTTAAAGAGAAGTTGGCAAAGAATCTATATTAAATGAGAAAAACTAACAAGATACAGAAGTGTGTCTAATTCTCTGTCTAATTACTTTATCTCCTACCCCGAATTCATTCCCATTTTTGCACATATTGAGCTACAGACAGTCCAGTTTCCACACAAAGGGGAGAACAAAGTGCAGTGGTTGTTTATCAGGTTCATTTTAAAAAGTGACAGAAATGGGAAATATTGGCCAGACTCTCATTGACCTCGATCTAAACTAATTTCATACCTTTGAAAAGGATCAGTGGCGCTAAATGATGGAACAATTCAACATGCATCTTCCTTGTCTTAAATATAATGCTACAAAACTGTAGTTAGAGGCAATTACAGTGCCATTAGACAGTGGCATTACTCAAACTGCGTTACTTCCTAACACTATAAATACTTACTAATTTTTCTAGTTTCAAAATGAATATGTCCTTTAAATATGGTAATTACTAGAAAAAGTGGTCTAAATTTAGCTGCTTACAATTAACCAAATTACTTTTTTCATTTCTAGCATCTTCACATTCTTCTTATAAAGCTCTAGGTTCACCTTGAGCTCTTTATGTTTACCAAGTGACATTTCAGAGATTTTTTTCCCATTTGATCTACTACATAAAATATATCATACTTATTGAAAAATCCATTTCTGTTTCAGAACTCTATCTCTGTTTTAAGTGACGTTTTCCTTCTCCTTTAATAGGCCAGGAGAGTGACTTCCTTGCTGTCCTGTACGATTATCCTTCAGCAGACATAAGCCAACCTATATTTCATGTAGGGGAAAAACTACGTGTGCTATCAGAGTAAGTTGATCAATTTATTTTTAAATTAGGTTTTATTACAATTGATGCTAAGTTCTGTTTTATGCACCTGGTCCAAATTGGATGCAGTTCAGCAGAACAGAGTTCAGAATTTTCAAGGAAGGATGCTTAGCCATGGTGTAAATTTACCTGTGTTTTAAGAATTTGGGATTACAGATTGCTCTTTGATTCTTAGATTCCTCTAACATGGTTACTTAAGCTGATTCAGACACTATTCTAAAATAGGACTCAAAACAGAAATCTGCTTTAAAAAAATGATTTTCAGAAGGTATTCCCCCAATGTTAGTGGAAAACAGATTAAGAGCCAAAATAGTTTGAATCACATAAAATAGGAAAATAATTCTGAAATTCTATATGTCAAATGTATCTTTCATTTTCTCTCTCATCCTTCTTAATCCAACAATCCATCATGATTCAGTCTCAGAATTTCATCCTAGATTTAAGGCAAATCTAACAAAAATAAAATAAAAAGTAGCACTTTTTTCCTTCTTTTTCTATTTTTTTATGGATTTTGCATTTTCTTAGTGGGGAAAAATAAAAGCCAGTGGCTTCCCAGTCAGTTCCAAAATTTATCAGCCCCAGAAGGAGGCAGGCTTAAGAGCACTGGTTGAGACTGACCTTGAAATGAAAAATGGAAAGTTAGCAGCCCTGATATTCTTTTATACACAACTTGTATTGGCACACAGTGACCTCCCAGAAGCTGATTGGCCTCACAGCCATGCTTTGCACTGCTCAAAATGAAATGAAAGATTTCATTTTTGCAGCTGGCAGAGCAGATGGATTCAAGGAGAGACCAGACACATTCATAGCGGAGAAATCCTCTGAGGACTTTAAATTCATAAAATAAATTCTCTACCTGAGAGAGTCAAATGGTTGGAGGACAGAAGTAGTCAAGAGAAGTATCATGGATGGTTGAAGAATTCTCAGACTCTTCCATGACCTGCAATGGCCTTTGTCAGTCACAAGACACAGGGCTGTGTGGACCTTTGGTCTGACCCAGAATGGCTGCAGTTACGCTCTGCTTTCGCTGCTTCCCTGAACCTAAAGGTCATAAGACTGTACCACTAGATAAATCTTCTGCTGAGAGAGAGTTTCCCTAAACCAGGGGGATTCTGCTCTGGTAACTTCCAGCAGTTTAAACCTTGCTCCAGTTTGCATAACATACATGACATGGTACAACTGCTTCAGCTTGGAAATTCCAGCTTAAAGCCTCAATCTCAGTTTTCACCAGCTATGAGCCCTCACACCACCACACAACTGCATATGCCTGTATAAATGGTAATTATATGTGTGGCATATCACATGCATACACATGCTGCAAAATACAATCTACTGGAAGAACAACTTCTGAAAGAACACGTTTTTGCAGCAGAAGCTTTTGGCATGTTTGCCTGTTGTGCAGTGATCAAGAGCTTCTCCTGACAGTAAATAAGAGGAAAAGCAAGCCTTGATGGAAACTTTCCCCTTCCTGTTTTAAATCATGAGCTTGTTCACAGAAGACAGTTCAATGCCCTATGCAAACCATAGTGTCCTAATGAAGGACCTGTTCTTCCCTACTGGGGTATGTGCTGATATTGGTAGGAACTATTTGACTGCAGCATCTTCCTGCTCATAAGCTGTAGGCATACTCTTCTTCTCAAGTCATTAAAATAATTACAGTAAAAAAGAAGAGTAGTATGGCAGGACCAGAGCACAGGTGATGAGGAGTCACCACAGAGAAGTCAGCATGAGCAGGGAGCACATACTGCTTTTACAAGGGCAGCTTTTCAGCCTTCTGCCAAAGCAACGATGTGCAGCAGCAATCAGCCCCACCAGTACCACCAGGAACATGATATATGGAATCTACATAGGAAACACAAGTCCTCACAGATATTTGTGGTCGCTCTGGGTTGGCAGGATTGGATAAGCACCACTGACACAGTTTCTCACTCTCCACGCTTGTCAGGCACCTTTCATTACCAGATTTAGGTGGTAGCAGTCAACCCAAATGTCCTCCAAGATCCCCCCTCAGATTACATAATTTCTGTAGCTGCTGCCCCAGGAGACGTGTGTTGCTTTGGTAATTTTAATCATCACAGGGATTTTTCAGAGTTAGTAATATTAAAGTTTGGAGTACAGGAGATGATGAGTCTCTCCAGTTTTTTCTTATTGCAATTCTTGGTTCTGTCTAGGAGAGTTGTGAGGAAAAGAAGACAAAAATAACCTAAAATTCTTATAGACAGTTTCATGTCAGCTGGAAAACCACAAACAAAACTTGTGGGGCCCTGAAATTTCCAGCTCCAAGCAGTAGATACTTCTCTTTTTCCCTCAGCATAGACATTCTGGACCATGGTCCCAGTGGCTGTAACTCATGACATTTCACATAAGAGTTTTCAGCTCAGCTGTTTTGACATACACTGAGACTCTGGTCCGCAGTCTGGACATTATTTGAGAACCTTTATATGAAAACCAATATTCAAACACAAGACACTATTATTTGGATTTAAACTCTTAAAGTGAAGGTGGAGAGAACCCATCAATCATCAGCATCCTTGCACTATCACTAAAGCTCTGCAGCATCCCTGTGAAAATTTGGTACCCTGGATTTCTGAAGGTATTCAAAAGCCAAAGCCAGCATTCCGTATCACAGCAAAAAGCGAAGATATATTGGTGAAAATACATATGTCCAGTCACCTGGCTTCAGCTACAAGGTCTTTTTCATTGGAGTCTGGTCTGCAACTCATTGAAGACAAGGAAAAGAGCAAACCACAAACCAGGTTCTTTTGGACTGAAAGCCTGTTCCAAAGCAAACACAATCCGTTTCCCAAGTACCTCTATCCTGAAGTTACAGGAGTAACTACAGGGCTGTCCAGACACAGCACATTCAGCTGTAAATGGAATATCTTGGGTACAAGTACAAGTCTAGCTGTGGGAAGGCAGAGCACAGCATGGTTTAACCACTAAGTATTTACCCTTCTTCTTATAACTACAGAAAAATATTTTATTACTTACGTAATTTAAATGAAACAAATGTAGCTTATTTCTGTGTCCAAACTTAATTCTTGAGTAGGTTTAGAAATGGAACAACTCTAAATGGAACGAATCTGGGTCCCTTTCTGAACAAATAGGTTCAGGAGCACAGAGAGAAGGTTACAGGCTAACCTATATGTCCACTAATTTCCAAAATGAGGAGAAGCATCTGAAATGCATCTGAAAATATCCCTTCTTTTGCTTTCACACAGTGAAGGAGGCTGGTGGAGAGTCCATTCCCTTACAACAGGTCGAGAAAACTATATTCCAGGAAAATATGTAGCAAAGGTTTATCATGGGTAAGTTAATGCATTTCCCACAGCCTTTCAACACTATGTTTCTACATATACTGCTCCAATTGGTTATTCAGTGTCATAATCCAAACCATGGTAATAGTGACTTGACAGACAGAAATTTTATTTATTGACAGTCTAAAATAGCTCCTTTGAAAACTGAGAACATCAAATCCACATATAAATTTAGATTAAATGAAAAGGAAAAAATCTTTCTGTTAAATGCTGGAAAGGGCCAAAGCCACCTCAATTGTCATAGAAGATATTTAACATACTTCCATTGCATGAACTGATCTCTAATTTTAAGACATTGATAAAGAGAGCCTATTTAGAATGAATTTTTAATATTTACAAAGAGTAAATTTTAAGCTAGGTTTTCCCATGGAAAACAGACCAAAAAGAACAAATAGAAACACTAATAAGTCATTCAAGAATGTAAACTCTCTCACTGGAAGAACTAAGGAAATTCAGAGATTTCTTGTTGCCCTGGACACCACTCAGGGGAAAAAAAGAACATTAAAGCACGCACTGAGAAGTTTTCTGGCAAAAGTTTTAATACTTGCCTAATTTTAGGGATATGAACTGTGAATTTCACTGTGAACTATGCAAGCGCTTTTATATCCTCCTGAAACAGAGATGCTTTCCCAAAGACAGGGCAATGCTAATGGAAGCTACTGACTGAAACCTTCCCCAAGAGCATTTTGATGACAGCAGACTAGACCAAACACATGAGAACAACTTTAAAATAAAATGCCAGTAACTCTAGATCAGCTGAGCAAACCCAGTTACATGGTCAGACACTGGCTGTGGCAAAACACAGCAGTGCACCAAGCTGTGGTGAAAATTAGTAGGACTAATTCCTTTCTCTACAAAGTTGATTAACTTAAATGGCTGGATTGTTCCCTAGAAGAAGCAAAATAATTCTAACTTATCTGGGGTTTATTTATGATACAATTTGGGGTTAATGAAAGTGGTTTAAATGAAAAAGAGAGATTTAACTAATGCTACAGATGTCATCAATATACCATATGAATCAGTCCCTAGCAATTCAGATCAAGACAGCTCAAAAAGTTTTGTTTTCCTTAATAAGTCCAAACCTTATTAATTCTTCTCTTTGCCTCAAAAAAGTTAATGGAACTCAAAACCAGTAGAATTTTCTCCATAAACTGGGGAAACATGCCTGAATGTAGTTCAGGGAATAACTGTAGAAAGCCACAGTGTTATTTTTGCAGTCACTTTTCCTGGCTAATGCAGCACATTCACAGCCACATGCTGCTCTCTGTTTCACTGCTGTCCAAATTTCAGAATTTGTTTTTTCCTGCTTCACAGCTGGTTATTTGAAGGGCTGGGAAGAGAAAAAGCTGAGGAACTTCTACAGCTACCCAACACCAAGGTCGGCTCCTTCATGATCAGAGAGAGTGAAACAAGGAAAGGTGAGAAAATATAATTTTTCCCCCCCTTGATCTCATTAACATTAACAGTTTTACAGCTTATTAATTCACTCCCTGTCCTGCTTCATATGGATCAGTCCAAACCCAGAAAATGCAAAGGCACCTAGTGCAGCACACCATTCTTTATCAGTCACCTACATTTTGAGCAGTGCTGGAAAGAGGGTTAGTGATAGCCATGGAAAGTTCCACAGGCATCAGCACAAACAAGACACAGTTGTTTAAACACTATTATTTACTTTGGTCTCATACAAACCTTATGAGGCAGTGGGACTTCTCAATTTTGTTTACTTTTTAAAAATGAAATGCCTTCAGTTTTGTTTTCTTTCTCTTGCTACATGGGTATTGTACTGTACCAACTTTATACTTTTATTCTCTTCAATGACAACATAGAATCCTAGAAACCCTGAGTTGGAAGGCACCCACAGGGATCATTAAGTCCAACTCCTGGCCCTGCACAGGACCACCCCAAGAATCACACCATATGCCTGAGTGTTGTCCAAATGCTTCTTGAACTCTGTCAGGCTTGGTGCTGTAACCACTGCCCTGGGGAGCCTGTTCTAGTGCCCAACCACCCTCTGGGTGAAAAACCTTTTCCTCATTTCCAACCTAACCTCCCCTGGCACAGCTTCATGTCATTCCCTTGGGTCCTGTCACTGGTCACCACAGAGCAGAGCTCAGGGCCTGCCCCAACTCACGAGAAAGTTGTAACTGCAATTAGGTCTCCTCTCAGTCTCCTCTTCTCCAGGCTGAACAGACCTCTCATGTGTAATGTGCTGTCTTCCTTTTCTGAAGCACAAGAACATATCCTAATGTCATGACACTACGGTTAAAAGAGAATAATAAATCATCTACTCTGACTTCTTGTGTACCACAGGCCAAACAGTTTTTTAATACCTATACTAAATTCAAAGAAATTTCAGATTAGCATTCAGTCCTTGCCAATAAATGCTGCATAACAGTTTTAAACAAAGAAACCACTTGGAAAAATCCAAGTGGCCACCTCCTATCTCCTGCCAGGACTGCATTATCAGGTCTCAGCTACTACACGAATTGAAGCTGACTAAATCAGCACATACCAGCCTGTGAGTCTGATCTCCCTCTTCAGCAGAAGGCAAACAACTTCTGCAAAGGCCTATTTCCTTTACATCATTTCAAAAGATCCCATACCAGCAAAAATACAGGAAAAGCACACCAGAAATTTTAATTCAACCAAAATCTCATGCCCTGATGTTGTACTCTTTATTTTTCTTAAGTATATATAAAAAGTATATTATATAAGTAGAAATTAGGATGGTCACTCAGGTTTTTTCAGATTTTTCTGGGATGTTTTGGATAATGGCATCATATCTTACAGATACTCTGGTCGTAGTCACTCTTATCCACCCAGAACTGCAGCTCTACTTTGGTGTAACTAGTTCTTCTCTTTCCCCAGGGTTATATTCCTTGTCAGTGCGACACAGGCAAGTGAAACATTACAGGATCTTCCGCCTTCCAAATAATTGGTATTACATCTCTCCACGTCAAACCTTTCAGTGCCTTGAAGACCTGGTCAATCACTACTCAGGTAAAAAGAAGTATAGAATAAACCTACTGTCCACTGGCAACTGTAAAACTATATATCAAAGGCCCAGAACAAGAAGTTTTGCCTATGTCCAAGACTTGCAAATACTGCCACAATGCAATGGAAAAATTGTTGGCTTATAGTCTTTTACTTTATTTCTCACCCTAAACACAAATATGCTGCCCTTAACAGGACAACTGAAATCAATCCAAGAACTCAGCTAAATAAAGTCAGATAGGCTTGTATTGGTACATGATATTGTATGTCCATGTCAATAACACTATTTGGGCCAAACACTAGTGTCTAGCACTTCCCTAGAGAACATTCAAATACAGTTTGGAGGTCAGCAGAGGTCAGGAATGCCCAGCCCCTCTCAGAGCACACAAAGTCAAAGTTTGAGCATATAAAAATGTTCAGCTGTATGGATGCCATGTACCCATGGTTCTGGCTTCCAGAGCCAAAGTACAGCTCCTGGGTCACTGTGTTTACCAGTATGAATATCTCTGCCATTTATTTGTTTATCATATAGACAGGTAGATAGCATTAGGGCATGCAAGACAAGATTCTGTAATCACATTTCCTTGAAGAACCACTACAGTACACAATGTTAAAACAGAAAACTCTCAGAAATGTTGTAAGCTTCTTCCCTATCACTTCAGAAGAAGAGTATGGCTGGAATTTATCAGCAGAACTTAGCTCAAGGAGCTCAAACTGTTAGCTCAAATCTAGATTCAGCTCTCACTGTTACTAATATCAGTCCAGTGGATGACACTTGTTTCAATGGCAGTTTTCCAGATTTATGGCAATTCAACCCGGGTTCAGAGAGACAACTTTACAAACTGCACAGTTAAGTGGCTGCAGTTACCATACATGATAATGAGAACATTTTAAAATGAGGAAGGAAATTGCAATAAATTAATTGCCTAAAAGTTACAAGAGAACAATAGGTTCTGTGCTTTAATAAGCAATGGGTACTCTGTAATTTTTAAAGTGTGAAGTTACCATACCTGCATATTTCATAGGTAAATGAAAAAGTGTACTTTTCAAAGTATGAAGTACTTTGTACTCTGCAAAAACAGTACTCTAATAAACTGGGGAGAAAAGTCATATTCACATTCAAAACATGCAAAAGAAATGTTCAAGTCCAACAATATAAACAGAGGAGTAAGAATTTGGACAGGATTTTTATTTTTATATTTATATATATATGTATATATACATGTATATATATGTACATATATATATATGGTTCATGTTTCTGCTCTGTCACAAACTTCCTTCTAGTCTCTGAGTAAGTCACTTTATCTTTCTGTCTCACTTGTACTCACTTGTACTCACTTGTTCCTCACTTGTACTGTATAAAATATACTCTGTGATAAATTAAAAGGCAAAGGTATGAGGAAAGGAAAAAGTTAAGCCTGTGTTACTGTGTCCTTGCTGAGAACACACAATTTACTGAGTCCAAAACTGTTTATCTGAGCATGTGTCAAGGAAAGAAAACAGTGTCAAACACTAACTGTCTGTGTATTCATTTTCCCCATTCAGAAGTTGCTGATGGTCTCTGCTGTGTCCTCACAACACCTTGTCTTACCCAGTGCACTAACAACAACACCATGACGAATCCAGTCCCTCCTGTGGTCATGAGGAATAAAAATTTCAACTGGAGAAACATTCACAGGTACCACATTCAACACAGGCTGCCAGAAATAACAAGGGTGTTTTCCAGTCCTTGTATATACTTGTACTTGCAACACAGAAGATACAGCCATTTCCTCCTCCTGAGACCAGTTTTACAGATTAGACAATCTTCTGGCAGCAAGTTAACCCATGAGAACTGGATGCCCAACTCTCTAACTGATAATCTACACCTAACTTCGAAAGAAAGTATAGTTAGCATTTAATCATTTCTGCTATCCAGCTATCCACATATGCAGTCCCCTTGGGACTCCTGAGTCCTTTCCAACGAGGGGGCAGGAGTAAGAGCCAGGTCACAAAGCCTGGTCAGATCCACCACCACTGGCACACCAATGTGCATTGGCTTTCAGGTGAGCCCCAACAGAAGGGGTTCCCCCTTGTTCACATGGTGACCATCCATTAAGCAGCACAGGTGCAGTGAACACATTATCCCAGACCTATTGAATCTCTCTCAACACACAGCCCAAACTGAAGTTCATGAGATTTCTAATATCACAACTGCAACTAGAGAAAGTAGGTCAGGTTTCAAAAGCTGGGGAAACAACCACCCTCAGAAACAAATGCGCCTTCTACTTTTGAAGCGCAAATTTCCCTCCACTACTCGTCCTTCACAAAACATATTCATGCTTACAAAGGCAAGAAAATTTTGTGCAGTATTGAGGTCATTTTTCCTACAGATTAAGAAGAGAGTATAGTTGCTATTTCCTTTTCAGATGCCAAAAAATATTAAGATATTACTGTTGTACTGGTTTTTTTGAAAACTGCTAAGTGACAGAAATTTTCAGTGATTTATGAGGCAGGAATTTTTTTATACAACAAAAATAACATTATTAGGTTTAACAACTGTTAGTAGTATAACAATAGGCTCAGTCCAAGTAGCTGAAACAGTAATAAGATTTTGTTCTTTTAAAGGCTGGAGGTGACTGAAGATACCAAAAGCACTCTGGCAGCAATGGATGACTCTTGTCTCAGCTATGGCCTGAGGGAAAGTATTGCTTCCTACCTCTCCCTAACGGAAGATGACAACACTTCTTTTGCAAGTGCCAGAAAGAAGAAAACCCAATCTCTTATATACACAGGGAACAAACGTAAAAGTGCCCTTCACTTGCCACCTACGTACTACGAAGACTAAATATAAGACAATCAGGGGGAAAAAACCCAACAACTGAAGTGTTAGAAGAGAAATCCAGAGCATCCCGTGGTCCTGCAGTCCTTCAACAGCTAAGAAATACAGGCACCCCAGCTGGTGACCCAACTCTAGAACTTCTGCATTTTCTCTTCTGAATGCTACCCAGAGACTTTCTCAAGGGTGTTATCTCAGCCACAGCATATGCTGGGAACGTCTCCAGTGCACCTGAAATTAGAACTGGCTCACATACAGGATAAACTGAGATAGACTCCAAATCAAAAGCCAGGTGAGGCAGGTGACTCTTCAGCAAGGGTGATGCCCAGCACTGTACAAAGATGACTGCATAGGGAAGGACTAACTGCAGCTCAAGAACTGAAATTAAGTCTTGCTCTGGTATTCTCCACAAAGCTGAAAACCACCTTCACAAAACCTATCTACACTGGAAAAAGAAGCCTTTTTCTTCTCAAGGCAGAATTATCCACTGTCATTAACAATGGGTCAGAAAGTTGTCAATAACTTCAAGAAAGCATTTAACACCCAGCATCCAAGAAACATCTGATTATATTGACTCCATACTTACTTTTTAGGAGAAAAAATTAAAATCATTGACTTTGCAAGTTGCATTTATATCATCTGCTGGCAATGGCCTGCAGCATCATAAAGTAGTCACAAAATTAAGAGCAGGCTTAATTCACTGAGAAAAGCAGTTCCTGCTTATCCCTGAGATGGGAGTACAGACTTATCCAAACATGTAACTCAGCTGCTCATAGTGTAGCAGATATAAAACAGAGAACAAAGAGGGGGTTAAGCAAAAATATAATGTGATAATATTGTGCCTAACTGCAAAGGTTGGCTTGCAAAGGTGTGACCTTTTATGTGTAGAGGAATATATTTTAACTTCATCTTCTGAAGTAAGCCACATATTTATGTATAATATTTATATTATTAGCAGTTTTTAAAATAATTAAACTAAGAGAACAAATCACTAACAGTGGAAGTTAAAGATTTTTCCTGATTTCTTGTCTGAAGAGAGTTATGTCAAATAGTAATAACACTTTTCATCAAATCACTTAAAGATTAAAGGGTTTTCTGAAATTTCATTAATTTTTCTACATGTATGTACCCTTTGCTAAGGGGATAAAAAGCAGGTAGCATGTTCCTTTGAACTTGCCTCATGATTGCTTTCGAAATCAAGCAATAACTCACATCTGAGGGTGTAAAAGTCCACAACTTACGTTCTCAAGCTGACGTATTTTCAGTCCAATATTCTATTGAACCTTTTTGTGCAGATTTGAATAATGAAGATTTGGAGAAGTAGAGAACTTCTCTACTTCTATGTGTGTATATATATATATATATATAAAAATATCACCTGTAAACACATCTGTATGCTCTCTTTGCACTAGCAAGAGAGATTCATAGATGAATGTATTTCACAGCCTATTTAAACACATTTCAGAATGTACAGGATGAATGTAATTGGCTGGTAAACATTGAACTCCAAAAAGCAAAAGAAACTCAGAAACTCCAGGCATTTGCATAATCTCATCACTGTTACTGATCATTAATATGTTACAGTGACTGCATTTTATCCATGAAATACATATGGGGAGCATTACAGATTTCTAAGTCATGACTTGTATTTATTAATTAAAATAATATCCAGTAGTTACTTTGTATTACTTTTAGAAAAAGAAAAACCTAGTGTGCAACTAGTTCAAGCACTCAGTCTTGCAATGCCACTGCCAGAAGGTATCTTTGATGGAACACAACAAAAGAATCCAAGAGCCCATACAATTGGCAGCACTTGGAACATGCTCTGTAAGAAGTGTTGGAAGGGACCTCCAGACATCATCTGGTCCAATCCCTGTGTTCCAACAGGGCCACCTTTAGCCAGTTGCCCAGGACCATGTCCAGATGGCTTTGGAATATTTCCAGGATGAAGACTTCACAACCTCCCTGGGCAACCTAGACAGGCACCCAGTCACTTCCCTGGGCAACCTGTGCAGATGCTCAGTCACCTTCACAAGTGATGACATGAGAAGGTGACAGAAACTAACTGCATGTGCCATAGGGATGGCTGCATTTTACAGATGGTTTTGGGAGAAATTCTATGAGGCCTGGTTGTTTCTCACAAATAACTGAAAGAATATATTTGGGACCTTTAGGGAAACACAATCTTGCAAGGGCCAACAACACCGAGGCGATTCTATACAAATCTGAGACTACCGAAGACACGATATCAGGAATACCAAATTTGGGTAGGGATGTAGCAAAACTGGGATCACTGGAAAAAAAGTAATCAGAGTTGGTTGATTTGTTTGAGAGGGAGTGAGCCTGGTAAAGGGGAAGAAAAGGAGATGGCAAAAGAGGAAAGAAAGGGGATCTAAAGTGTAGCTAATCACCAGGATCAGGGATATTTATAGTCCACGTCAGACAGCCCTGCACCTGACTGCAGTAGTTTCAGAAGGGCAATAAACCTTCTCTTTCCAGTATTGACTGATCTGCTTCCATGGCCAGGAGGGACCCGGTGTCTTCCCTTGTGTTGTGTGGAAGAAGTCTGGGAGCTTTCCTCCTGACACCTGCCAGGGATGCCTGGGGAGGACACCTAACATAGCTGCCCTCCACAGCTTCCTGAAATCCATACCATTGATCCACTCTTCTATATCAAAATTGCACTGGCAAATAAATAAATTAATCAAAAGATGAAGTCAGATGCCAGGTTAATGCCCTTAAACCATTTAAAACAAGACCATAATCACTGATACCACTTTTTAATAATCACACAACTGAAAGGTGAAATAAATTATAAAGGGTCCTCATGATAGTTTTTTATTGATTTTGTACAATCTGTTTACAGATCTGTTCAAAAAAAAAAACCTATTATAGGGCAGACATAGGAAACTCAAAAGCATTTTGCTGTTTCAGGTGCTTGTCTTCTTGTAAAGAAAGTTTCATACATCACACCTCTCTGCACGCTCAGAAACAGTATGGTTTTATCATGCATAGCAAAGACCGAAACAAAGAGCACAAAGCTGACTTTTGCAGAAGAGCTGTACTGCTTCATGGTATTTTCCCTCAGGAAAGCTATACCTGGTATATATTCTCAGTTTTATGCTTCTTAGCCTGTGTGCAGCTCCTTTTTTACAGTAAAATTAAAAGTATTCAATGATTTTGGTGTCTGGGAACAAAAGCAAGACACATCCCTTTACAGTAGGTGTAAGTGAGAAATCTGAGTAAACCAACAGTTGCATTTGGCATCACTTTAATAAAAAACAAAATCTTAAAAAAAAAAAAAGCAATCAAGTATATTTTAAAGCTACAAGCTCCTTGTACTGTTGCTTGCTTTTCATTTTGTCAGTGTACTTCACAAGAAAACTACATCCACTGTGATGCTGTCAGGATAAATAATTAATACTTCTCTGAAACCAGTGGAGACCCTGTTTTTGCTAAGACAGTGGTCTGCACAGTCCCAGGAAGAAAATTGTTGTTACAAACTTTAGGTAAGTGGAAAGAACTGATGCACCTGCCTGCTCATTGCACTTGCCACTGTTTTCCATTATTCAATGTTCTGCTGCAGGAGAAAGAATGAGTTTAGACTTTTTTGTATAAAAGAAAAGATGTAATGTGGAACTACACTCAGAAGTAACAATAAGCAAAGAGGTTCTTGCATTTCCCTTTCTTGAGTTGCTCAACTGGTAAATTGCACTTTATCCTGCCACAGCTTTCACAGGGCCCCATCCTCAGTCATGTCAGTAAAGGGTTTGTGATTTCAGAGTAAAAGTACGATAAAACTGAAAGAAAACAGCTCTGGGTCTCCTGGCCAATTAACTGCTATGCCAAGAGCTGAGTAAAAATCTTGGAACTGTGTGAGGAATGATCTGACAATGACACAAAAAACCCCCCAACTACTGAGCAGCGATTTTCATGACTTCCCTTGCCTTCCCCATTAGAGTGATGCAATTAAAATAAACTTACTGAGCCATGGGGATGCAAAAGGCAAGTTATGTTTTCTGAAGCAAGGTCACACTGAAGAAAAATTAAGATGTCATTATTTTCAAGACAAGATTGTATTTAATTGGGCCCTAGGCTTCCTGAACCAAGAATTCCATCCCCCTGCTTACTGTTTGAAGTCAACCCTGCTAGCAGAGAGATCATTTTGTCCAAGTACCATTTCTGCTGGATACATAAACCTCCTCTGATCATTAAGCCTTATTTAGAGCACACCACTCCTATCTTAGGCTGTAAAGAGAAACGGTAGTATTGACACTGACAAAACTGATCTCAAAGTCCTGAGATTCAACATGGGAAAGGTTGTAAAAACATGGATCACTTGGACTGACTGAGAAAATGGTCTAAGCTGACAGCAAATAAGCCCATCAGTAAACACATTTTTACTCTCTGAAACTTCCTTTTCTTTTAAATGAAATCTGCCATAAGATCTGATAAAAAGATTGGATACTTTAACGTGCAGAAATCTGGCTCATCAGTTTTAGAGTCTAAAGACTGCTGACCAAGAAATGTATTTATGGAATGGAAACTAAGCTGTTGTACCTGTAAGTTATGAAACAAGATTATTTATATAATGCACAAAAAACCACAGTGACGAAAACTAGATTCTTACTATGAGTAAATCAAACACAAAAGTGCATCTCTTGTACATCCTGGTGAAGCGCTCAGCTCCTGGAGATAACAGTCCCAGGTGAGATGAAAAATAACTATAGCAATAACAGCCCTATTAGTGCTGCCAAGGTATGGACGAAATAAAACCAGCACCCACACACTGCAACATCCTCATCTCTGCATCAACATCCTTTCACAATGAAGTTGAAGCTGAAGCAGGAATGGAACTTACCATCAACAACACCCTCCTGAAAAGGTCAGTATCTGCTGTCTCTGTGAGCAGGTGAATGCTGGTGACATCTGCCCCACCACGGTCAGCTCCCAAAGAAACCCTGCTGGGGTCTCCTCCAAAGCCAGCAATGTTCTGCTGCACCCACTTCAAAGCTGCCAGTTGATCCAAAAGTCCAGCATTCCCACTCGCCTCAGCAGAACCTGTTGTAGAAAATAAAATGGGGTTGAAAAGAAATAAAACTATAAACCTTTGAAGTTTTGACTAAATGTCACATTTTTAGCAGCTCCTGAAGCTGAACTTGGACAAAACTGCTACCATAAGTTAAAAGTCTAAAGTGGTCTCTTCCAAGGTTATCACTTTACAGACTGACTCCATTTCAGTTTTTACCACTCCACCAGGCAGCCCTGGAGGTGCCTCTTTGTCTGTCCTGTTGATAGAAAAATAACACCCCAACTTCTAAGCTTCATTAGGACACATCATGGCAGGAGACTTGAACACAGGTTCAGGTATCCACAAATTTAGCCATAAGATTCTTTTTCTACGTAAGTAGATCGATCTTAGAATGAATTAAAAGCACACAAAAAAATCTGTGTGTTTTCCAGATTCTTGAGTTGGAAGGGACCCATAAGGATCATTGACTGTTTCCCTGGAGTGCACCTAATTGCATATTTCCTTCCTACATCCCTTTTATACACTTACCCTGTCTGACCAATCATTATAAGTCATAACATCTTGGATTTCTTTACATGCTTCCAGACATTATTTTAAAATGCATATCTCCATCTACATCCTCTGAGATTATCCCATGTCTAACTGATAGAAATCTGATATATATATATATATTTCAGAAATATGAATATATAAATACTCATATTTTTGTTAACATGGAAACAAATAATTAATCATGTATTTCACATGCCTAAGTATCAACACTTACTTTTCAACCTCAACAAGTGGTAACCTGATACTTTGATTAACAGGAAACTAATGCTGAAAGCATCTAATGATGCAACCCCCTAGGTAAGGTTAATTTTATATCAACAAAAGCAGAAATAAGTAATTCCTCCACAATCTGTAAGAAAGGAATAGAAAATGATTATTCACTGTCTACTTCTTTATAATCCACAATGAGCCATTTATTTTTAAAGTTTTAAAATTCTCCACATTTAAAACTTGAGGAAAAAAGCCCCACAGGGCAAGACAAAAAAGTCATGAATAGAAAAACAGATGAAACTATTTGTTTCTTCCATTGCCAAGACCAAATAGTACAATTTTAAACTAAGGGTAGGTTCAGAAACTAGTGAATCAAAATCAACAGAGAGTGGAATAAAAAGCTGCCACTTTGTGGAGATGTAGCCCTGTCTTGGGCAAAGAGCAATTGAAAGTTT